CTCATATCACCAATGGTTATTATAGATAACATGTATCTTACACACTGACACCATAGTCATCATCATCATTATCATCATTATCATCATCATCATTATCATCATCATCATTATTATTATTATCATCATCATAATCATCATCATCAAGCATCCCATAATACTTACCACCTGCTTTTGAAGAGTTCACAATTACAAAAGGAGTTTGAGGACTAATAAGCCCAAGACTTTTAAGAGCCTCATAWGCWGCACACTGCTCYGCTTCCTTTTTGTCTTTCTGGATGCCTGAGCTTGTGACCGTCTGTCCCGTATAAAGCTGCACATTTGATGAATATCCAAAACTRTTTTTAAATGATTTATATGAAGGRACGCCAACACCCTTCTTCTGACAAAACTCTTGAAGTGTATTTTTGTACGAGATGAAATTCTTCTGTCCAGGAAGTGCAACCATTCCTTGAAAAGATATTGTTGTAAAATGTAATTTAGTACAGTAWGAAAACATTGTGTGTTGTGGGTGCATAGAAAAATGCCATGAATGGTCTTCACACAATGGAGCTATTGGAGATCATAGGAATCCAACTGTACAACAAAACAATGAATTTTAGTTCCCACGAGGGAGAAAATCTTTTGTCTTGTCCTCCAGATGAAGCTGTTTTGACTTCACACGCAAGGGKTCTATATAACTTCAGCCTGCATTGACTACACAGTTATTTCAATGCCTAATAATTGGACAATTTTMGCAAGATAGTGAAATAACTGCAGACATAAGAAACAGAAACAGTCAAGGAAACAGAATGGAAATGATCTTCATTCATGGGTGTCTCCTTTAGCTGATTATCACACATTAATAAGTGGCTTCTTGACAAGTGAGCTGCAAGGCATCTAAACTAATTTATGTTTACAGTTTAAAAGACAGACTTCTTCTTATAACTTCCCTTTGCTGAAAGAATGACTTAACTGGACACAAGCAATATTATCAAAATTTTTGACTGCTGCAGTTCTGAAGAGTCAATAAAAATCATTACCTTGAAGTTCCTTGTCATCTTTGACTTTCTTCTTTGGTTTACTAGAAACCACAATGGCATTCATCAAAGGTGGAGTTGCTGTCAACAATTGCTGCTGCTGTTGTTGTTGTTGAGGTAGTTGTATTTTTGGTTGGTTTGGAGGAGGAGGGTATGCTGGCGGTGGAGGAGGAGGAATTGAATCACTGCTCATGATAGCCTGGTTTGATACATTTTTAGGAGTTTTCAGAATTGGTTTTATCCCAGATGTCTTYGTTAACCATGCAGGCTTAGGAGTTGAGGAATTCACTTGGTTTGTTAAAGAAGTGCAAGAATTACTAGCACTTGTGCTCACCGTTGCGTTCAACCAGGCAGGCTTACTATCAGAACTAACACTACTTGTTGSAGTWTGTGTRAGCCATGAAGGTTTTGTATCAGAWGTAACACTACTATTTGGCGTCTGCGTCAGCCAAGATGGTTTCCCATCAGAGCTGGTACTAGTCCCAGGAGTCTGACTGAGCCATGATGGCTTGGTATCAGTAGTYGAGGCTGTGGTACTAGTACTTTGTGCTAACCAAGCCGGTTTCGATGAAACAGTAGCATTTACTGYTGTAGTGCTTACAGGTTGCGAAAGCCATGACGGCTTACCAACTGCTGTTGCATTGTCATTTTTCTTTTCTTCGTTAGGAAGCRCCCTTTGTGGTCCATTCATGTTTTTCCCCATGCCTCTTCCTCTGCTGTAACTTTGTCCCCTTCCAGCACCATTTTGCCCCCTTCCTCTACCCCTTGAATTATTCACATGCKGTCTTTGATASGGGTGTCCTCTGTCATTTTGRAACTGGGATGGTGGATARCCATGAGGTCTATTMGGTGGAGGGCCAAAGTCATTATAGGGTCCCCACGGAGGTGGTGGGGGCCTGTTGTCATAGTGACCTACCCAGTCTTGTGGAGGTCCCCAGTCCCTTGAAGGGGGACCATGAAACCGTCCTATTTTTAAAAGACAAAAYAATAAGAAATTAGCCTTAATATATAGCCTTAAGTTAAGTGATACTTTTGTGCAGCTGTGATTTTTTGCTAAACTAGCAAGTAGGATACAAATGAGGTTATGATGTCCRTCTGAAGTGATCAAAGTTAGTTTACATTGTTTGTCCAAAATACAGTAAAGTCAACAGGTAAACAAATAAGGTATTAAACGTTTCCACAATGAAGTAGAAATGAACATTCTTTTCAGACTGCAATGCACCAGTTAAATCCATAGTTATTTGGAGTTTAATGCGAAAGAAAGTTGCCTACAGTATACTTCAGTACCGGTTGAAAATATAAACATATGAATGCTTAATATATCGCTTAAACATCAGCTGATTGGTTCATAAATAGTTCCGTGGGTGTAATTACCGGTATAAAAGGTAAAAAGTTTTCAAGAAATGCAGTTTCGACGATGCTAAAGTTAAGTTTGTCAATTTCTAAAAACAAAATGGCGTCRCCAGCTTACCACGTGAACCCATGGTTAGTCACTGCTGGGAGGAAATTACAAGAGCTTTGCACTTTCAAATTACTCTTTGACTTTATCTTTCTAGCTGCACATCATGCTTGAACCTTTGAGCTAAAGAGACGAAGCATATTCCGTAAAACGACCTTTAAAAAAAKCCCTTTCCGAGGATTTCCGAGTCGATCAGACTTTTGAATGACAGAAACATCAACTACGCATGCGTCGCAAAGCACTATGGGATATTTTACAAATGGCGTCCGTAGRAACCAAAATTTTCAAACTTTGAAACTTCTTTATAATTTAATATGGTATAAAAATGTTTTGTTGTTATTTCTAGCACGGATTTTGAAGATCAGGAAGTTCTTTGGAAGACTAGTATTAATAAAGTTTGGGAGTCATCTACAATACTATAGAATTTTTTGTTGTTTGTAAAAATATAAGGAGGAAATATGAAGAATGCTGCTTCCTCTTCGGCAAGCGAGTCGAGAATGGAGGCCAGAGCAAGGTATGGGTCTATATTTTTATTATTTGACAAAATCATTAATGTTAAAAAACTTTGTGTCTCCTTTTAATATTTTGCAYCATAGGGATCATGAGCTCAAAGTCATCAGTGATCGGATCACTTTGATTGACAAGCACTTTGCAGCTTTGTCCAAAGATATTCTATCATATAACACAGCAATGGAAAGTGTCCAAGAAAARGGAGTAAGATTATCTACAACACTAGATGCATATGCAGAACAGGAATTCCCCTCAGTCAGAAATGCAGTTCAGCAGGTTTCCGAGTGTGTGGCTTCTGCCCAGGATTTCTTGGGAGCTGAGGTGGGTGGGTATCCGTGCCCGGGACACAGGGTTCTTCCCTGTTAGCAGAGGCTTCTATGAGAATACTATTCTATTTGTTCTCGTTTGGGTGGAAGCTTCTCTGCTAACAGGGTTACTGGTGTGTTGTTTATTTGCCGACACTTTCTGGACAATAGACCCCTTTGATTTAACGTTAGCCAAGCTTCATCTATTCTCAGTTTTGTCCTCCATTTGGAATTTTGTCCCCATGACCTGCAACTGGGTCTACTTAGGAGCAAACTCTCTGATAAAGGCAGGAATATTGCTTCCAGAAGTAGAAACAAGCAAAACAAACAAACAAAAAAACACCAGAACCAATCAACAGGAAGTTCCCAAGGATGGSCCACTTCCATTGTTTCATTTGTTTTGATTTTAGTTGTTTTGTAATTTTTAGATCAATTATTTGCACACCAAAGTAGCCCAGCCTCTAGCACTGTAYGCAACAAACTGTAAACATGCACGAGACTACACCAAAGGCACAACGACGTCAAGGGATAAGGAACTGGCTAAGTTAAAAGTGGTTGAGAAAATGAAATCAAAAGATCCCAACAACACATCAAAACTTGTATCCTTCAATGATATTATATTAATTTGGTTATTAATCTAATTTAATACTGTTATTGCAGCTGAGCTTTTCCTTAACACAAACACAGTCTCAGGTAAGGTATTCTAGGATCAAACATATCATTTTGCTTGGAAATAATGTCTTTTGATTGCCTTTACGCAATGGCGATATAACGTCATCGAGAAGTGGGTGTAAAAAAATGGAAGAGGAGTGAGTTGTACTTTGTAATGTTAGATACCTGTGAATGTCAATTAGGTACCTACAGTGAAAAGAGGCTAAATTTACTCATCAATGAACTTCAATCTCAACCATCATCTTAGTTTCATGCAAATCAACTACATAACTAGGTCTTTTAAGAAGCCATTGGGAACTGTGATTAGAGTATAAGGTAGTGTGCATGCTTCATGTTAAATCCACACTTATAAAAGATTTCATTCTATACTSTGAATTAAGCTTGAGCAAGAACTTCAAAAGGCAACTGTTGATTCAGCAAGGGCTCGMCAAACTATGGTGGACCAGATGATCACATTTGAGAAAAAGAAAATTGAAGATTTGAAGGTGAAGTCATTTTATATATATACAGGTTGTAAAAAAATCAAAACTGACTCATAATTATACCCACAAATCCTCCAAATTTTCTCTTTTTACAGAAAATGCTAGGTGATTTCTTTCATGGCCATTTGTTATTTCATGCCAAGGCTCTTGAGATTTACACACATGCCTATCAGAGTTTGATGGTYATTGATGAAGATCAAGACTTAGAGGTAAGTGTAAAATAAATTTGGTTGGTGTTCTATGTAATAATCAGTGAAAAAAAAATTTCTACTATAATCAGTAATGGAATGATTTTAAGTCAACTGCGAAAAAAAAACTACCAAAAGAACATGTAGTTTTATAAGAGCAAAGCATAAAACAAAGGAAAGATATTATTTTGTGTGAAGTCTACTATATTGTTTATAACTATTTGTAATACTTAATATTGCTTTAAGGCATTTGAAAACTTATTGCACCCTGCAACAATCCCAACCAGACTGGGTTCCGGCAGTAGAGCTGGTTCACAAACATCACTACAGTATGGCTCTCAAGGYTCTCTTCTTGGATCACAACTGTCACTTAACAGAACTAGCCAGAGTTTACAAAGCCAAGGCACTATGTAGTCACACAAAATTTCATGGCTACATTATAACAAGGGTTAATTTTTTTTTCTTGTAATATAAATTATGTACACCAGAACCTGAAAATAAGGCTATTGCACACATTCACAAAATCCATGTATAATCCAGTTTCGAATTCTCCAATGCTCTGTGTTAGCCTCATTTGTGCGCAAAATATTCCTTATTGTGAGCGTAAAAGTGTGAGATTTCAAATCAATTTATTGTCTTTCTTCACAACATTCCATGCGTTTTCTCAAGCTATCAATGAAACAAAAGAATATGTTACTTGGTTTTGAGGCTAACACAGAGCAAATCAGAACTCTAAATTGGAGTATTGCAACTCCTGCATTTTCTATCCATTTAATGCCAAATGAGGGCTGATACAACAGTATTGTTGAACATCAGAATTTTGTTAAGACAATGAATTTGTCACTGCACTAAGAATTATTAACTAAACTAAACTAAACCTTTATGATTATTTCATAAAGGACTTCAATTAAATCACAATCATAATTTTGGAAACTCTCTTATATTTTCCAACCCTCCCACCTCACTAATCTTTACAAGGTACTTAAAGTCCTCGATTAGAAAAAAAAAAAAATGCAAAATACCACTGAGGTTAAGCATAATATCACACACATGAATACTATTAAATTTTTCTATGTGTAACATACGTATGTACAATGAATTGTTCGTACATTTGTATACTTTAAATATTTATTGCAAAGCAAGTGCACTGTTGATATGGAATTTTTTTATTGTTTTAAACAACTTGAATTTACATTAAATTTATTTATTTGTTGSTTGGTTTTAAAAGATTTTAGATTAGGTCTAAGTTACCTTTACAAGAAACAAAACACTCACCTCGAAATCATGAAGTTTCAGCWAAGCATATACTTACAAAATACCGATTAAATGGCCTAGTACTGAAGGAATACCAATTAAGTCATTGCAGATAAAGGCCAAAGATATCTTTTAATYAATGTAGCAGAAAAATGTCATTAAGTCAAATCCCAATTCTTTTTTGAACTTTAACCTTATATCAACTCAAAAAGCTGATACATTTATTTGACCCTGCATTTAACCTTTCATTTTGCCTTCTCCTTGAAAGATCTGGGATTTTACCATGAATGTAATGTTAGCTTTCCTTCTCAAAAGTTTCATTCAGATTATCTGTAATATCTTAATTCTTACTCCAAGTTCTGYGCACTTAGTACTCTTACCCAAACTATACTAAATATTGGTGTTTGTGGCTAATAACCAGGCACTKATAGTTTGCATATTCAGGCCACTGTACTAACAACAGTACAATTCCAAAAATTCCTGTTCTAACAGACTACTTACAGTTCTTACAGACTCTTTACACTTCAGTATATAAAAGTTGTCTTCTACAGAACAACACAAACTGCTTTGGTTCCAAGCATGACTTCATTMGCCCTTGAGACCTAGCAACCTTTCTTTTTCAACCTAGCATTTTTCCACTTGTATGGACCATACAGTAACCCAGCTCCAACTTCTACATTTTTAAGTCAAATGATGACTTATCATCACCAGAAAAGAACACTCTACTGCACTGTTCTTCACTGCAACATAGTCAATTGATTCCAATCTGGTCCTTCTGTACAGGAACAGTCAAGAATGGTTGACCTCTGAAGATAGCAATCYGATACCTTGGTGCTATGGCATCTAATTCAAGACATGTATACTTACAAATCCCCAAGTAAAAGTCACCACTGTTTATGTAATAGTAATACTTCTCATGACCTGTCCACGCAATACCTTATGTGACTTCCACCAAGCAAGCTGACAATGCAAATACTTACCATTGCACATTGAGACAAAGACTATTGACTACTCTAAAGACCTCCACTTAATCAATACACAGCTTACCTTGACGAAGCAAAATACACATTACGCTTCCTCAATCCTCATTGTCAAGACCAATTACACCCAAATAACTATAAGTATAGTTATAGTTGGATCTCCAAAGAGGGGTTAGAATACTTTATATTTTCCAGTTCAACAATGTTATGAACATTATCCAACTGTATCTTTATACTTTTAACTTTACTGTACTGTTGGTATTAAATATAGAACCAATTATTGTAGAATGAGYATTTTAGCCAGCAAAGTATCTTAGTATTCCCACTAAATAATTTACAAATGACACCCATTTCAAAGCCACTGTTAGTAACCAATTCAAATGCCATGTTTATTGAAATTACTATGGTTAGAACACTAATTCTTTCTGGATCTCTGTAATATGCATGCCCCAGACTGACACTTCATATTCCCTTTTCAATCTCATCTGATTAGAAGCAGTAGTTTTCTCATCTAGTACCTAGCATACTGTAGTTTCACCTTCAATAAATGAGTCCCAAACAAAGTCTGATGGAAACAAAACATAGCCACAAGTTTCATGGTTTACTCAAGTAATACTTGTTAACAAACGTGTACAAAAAGTCTAGATATGTATTACTTTATCATAAAAGTTAATTTTCAATAGCTGATMATTTGCTTGCAAGTCTAATGTTAGCCCAATTTATGCCAACATGACCCTCTAAACAAGAGGAACTGWGACAATCAACACSTAATCAATTATCACATGGACAAATTTGGAGCAAAGATGCTTGTAATTACACTATTGTATAATCTATTGTGAAATGAGTTAAATGTGGTACCTTAGCCAGTCTTCAGACAATAAGACAGCTACAGGCTGGTATGCCTACAGCCTTGACAAACCACTGCTTGCCAATGCTGGCCTTTCATATAGTTACATACGCTACTGAAAAACAGTCTCTTTCTTGTGTCTTCGTTTTCAGATAAAGTCTGAATGATGTACTTGTAGCTTTAACAGTCCTTCAGATACAAATGTATGTAAAAAGCAAAAAAATTTTCTCTAATAAGAGTCCTCATAAGGTAAACATTGAAAAGTGTTTTTATACCAGGAATAATTGCACACTTCGCTTTCCAACATACTTATGATTAAGATCTTGTATGGCAKCCATTGCCTCTTTGCTGTTACGCAGTGTTATCATTGCATCACCCGATGACCTGCCAGGAGCGAGGTAATGGATGCGTACTGAATCACGGAACACATGGTAACCATAGAAGAAATCAATGATCTCATTAGCKGTGATAGACGATGGCAAGTTACGAATACCCACAACGCATCCAGCTGCAACATCATCTGGGTTAATCTTGGCTGTTGACGCAAGYTGGCTYAAYGTGTTTATTGTTTGAGYTTCTAGTGTGTCTGCCGATATACCATATGATCCTGCAAGAGGAAGRCCAAGGCTTGATAAATCTGGCCCTCTATCCATCATCCTGGAAGTGGTTTGAGCCTGCCTTAGAAGATTTTGATTAATATTGACAGCCAGATCACTAACRGCRCCACCACTTCTTGCACTACCACTAATCARGTCAGCCTTTTTGATATCKGTATCGTTCTTCTCCACTGCTTTTATCATGTCTAGTTTAGTTGTGAGGCRGATGTCTATAAATCTATGGCCCAGTTTCTGCCTGTGCTTCTTTTCAGCTTGCTTTGCATCACGRATTGATCTGAATTCTACATAACCTTCCCCTGTCTTTCTACCAACAAATTTACCATCCGGGTGGTGTAAAAACTTGACAAGCACAACATCAAGACCTTTGAAGAAAGATGTAACATCTGCTTCTGAGATTATAAAAGGTAATCCATTAAGATGACAACATACTTCATCCATAAGAGGATCACCACCCCTTKGCCTTTCTCTCTTCCCAGCAGACGATTCCTCTCTGAAGCTTTTCCTGGGTTGACCATTGCCAATACCAAAAGAGTCTCCTGCAGTACCCCTGTCAAACCTTGCCCCAGGAGCCATATTTCCCCCAACCGATATCCTGCCACTACCAAGCCCCATACTTCTTCCAATATTCTCAGCCAAACTGAACATTGGCAGACTGAGATTAGACGTTACTTCAACATGCCTCTCATCACGACCAAAATTTGAACCTCTTCTGTCATTACCCCTACTTCTGAAACTATCTCCTGGCCTATCCCTTCCGCGTCCCCCTTCCCTATCAGGTCTTCTTTCTTTTGGACTTCTGCTTCTCATTCTAGCACTGAACCCCTTTCTGTCATCCTCTGGACGATTCTGTGGTCTTCCACGCCTGTCTGAGATATTTCTAGACCTCAACTGGTTGTCTCTATCCCTCTCCCTTTGCCTTTGGTCTTCGCTTGACTCATTTCGTTTGCCCTTAGTAGGTCTAGGATCAGGCACTCCATCGTCTAGCATTGAGGTCATTTCAGACGAACTACTCAAGAACAACTCAATATATCTCTTTCCCATGTATTTCTCATTCCTAAACATTGCCTGCCTTGCATCTTCGTCGTTTTGAAACACAGCAAAAGCTATTCCTGAAGCTTTTCCATCTTTATAAGCAGCGAGATGGATRTCTTCCTCTTTGAGATAAAGTCCCTCAAAGAACAACTGGATGTCCTTTGACGTTGATTCAAACGGTAATCCTTTCATCTTTATAACAACAGGCATCTTTTGGAACTTTGTAGAAGCTAATTTTCCCTTAAAATGACGTACATTTACGTGTAAAACACTCAAAAAGTATCCGAAATCGAAAAGATCTGAGACGCAACGTCATACGACTCAAAACCTTCCTCGTGTTTTCACATGCGCGCGCAATGCATGCTAGGAAATCTGTATTATCTTCGAGTGAGTGACTTAGTCTATTTTCCAACTGTAYGATTTTTTTACAAGATACTGATTTGGAATCAGAAAGCTCTAGTCATCTTATCAAAATTTTTTATAGCTGAAATTCGTGAGAAAACTTTGCATTCGTTCTCAAAATTGATATTGGGATCCCTGCGTTGGTCACAATGCTTTGCGGGCGTCAATAAACAATATGGCGGAAAAAGTTCATGTTCAAAAGTGTTCTTCGGAGGGCGATTTGGAGAATTATGTCTGTTCTCTTATAGAAGAAAGAGCTRCTACAGCTATCCAAAGTAATGGTGTATTTACTGTAGCATTTTCAGGTGGAAGCGGTGCGAAAATCATTTGCAAAGGACTATYAGGRAGAAAAGTTGATWTGTCAAAATGGAGAATATTATTCTGTGATGAGCGCTATGTAGAGCTCACCCATCCAGACAGCAACTACAGTATTGTGAAGGAGCATCTTCTGGATAAAAGTAGTACACATCCTGATCGTGTTCTCGCCATTAATTCATCTGTTCCTCTCGAAGAAGCTGCAAAAGAATACGAGGCAAAGTTGARAGAACTTTACCCCTCCCAGGTGGGTGTACCTCAGTTGGACCTACTCCTACTTGGAATGGGGCCTGATGGGCATACTTGCTCATTGTTCCCAGGTCATGCTTTACTTAAAGAATCCAATCAACTAGTGGCACCCATATCAGACTCACCCAAGCCTCCACCCTGCCGTATAACCCTAACCTTCCCAGTGATCAATGCTGCACACTGTGCTGCCTTTGTTGCTACTGGAGCCAGTAAAGCAGAAGTAGTGAAAAGAGTTCTGGAGGGAAATGTAGAAGATCCATTACCAGCAGCAAGAGTGAAGTTAACTGATGGTGAAATGTATTGGTTTTTGGATGAGGGATCAGCTGGTTTACTTACAAAATAGAGACAAAAATTGAGTTCATATAGTCAGGGAGTCAGTACACTGATAGTACTTAGTCTAGCCTGCATAGCGCCCTTTTGGGAGGACCTCTATGCAGGCTATACTTAATCAACATTACATTGTAAACAACATAAGTGTTTATTGGCCTGAACTATTTAATTTTTATATTATTTGTTTGTTACCTTTCCCAGTGCATTTACAGTTGACTCTAGTTATAACAGGCAACTTCAGATCTTTGACATGCAAAAAGAATCTGAATGCTAAATGCTGAGGCAGTCCTCATAGCACCTTATCTTGTATAATCAATAGTACATGTCTTGAGTAAAGACTTCAAGACATATTATTTTAGGAATGTTTTTGGAGTGGGCATCAGTTGGATCCTGATATCAGTAGTCCATCTCAAAATTATACTTTGCCATATGCCTTCCAAATTTACCACAGTATAATAATGAGACATGAACTACCAGGTATTTGGTTGAATAATAATGTGAAAAGGAAAATAAGTTGTTAGAATTCCTGGAAAATCTCCATTTTATTGTATTCTAGTATCATTTAACTGAAAGATTGATTACACATAACATAATAATAATTCTACAAATCATAATTATTACAAGTTCCCACAAACATTACTAAAAAAAATATGTGGCTAAATAAAATTTTGAGGAGGAGGTTACACTGCACTCCTAACATTTAAAATGCTTGTAGTGTTTAATACTAATTACAACTGATCTCATTCACTTTCTGACCCTTTTGTACTTGACAAAATTATTCTAAGCCAAGCAGAATAGCACATTGGGATAATTGCATCATTTTACCTGACTGCAAGAGTGAACACATTTCTGTGAAATTGTACTAAAACTAGTTCTAGTTTGTGTGTGTGTGTGTGTGTGTGTGCAATCAAGTAGATGGAACTCATAATCAACACTGGTGATTTGAAGGAAGTTTGTTGCAGATTCAATGCCAATTTTTGGTGTTATGATTGTGTACAATTTCACAAATTTAATGTGTTTATCCTTCTAGAATGTTTTTATTATTTACATTTTTATTCAAGTGCCAATTATACAAAGGGTGGATAGCACTATCCATCATAAATCCTTATCCAGCAGATAAAATCCATAGAAAACTATGAGTGGGTCTGACTTTAACTGGTGAATAATTTTATCCGGCCCCTCGTACAACCAGCTCCATATATAATAGTCTTCTTCACGGTTCCCACCATCATCTTGAAAGGTAGCTGTGCCTTTACATCGAAGCGAGACAACCGTTAAGTGTGCGGTGATAGAAAYCTTCTTTCACAACTACAGACCATTATTCACAGGTATCTATCATTGCACACTCAACAGTTGTCTCCCTTCAAAGGCACGCCTACCTTTCACTATGGCAAAGGGAACCGTGAAGGTAACTACTTATCAAAATCATTGGCTAAAAAAAATTGGCAAWATAGATGACTTTCTAAATATCCAAATATTAAGGCAATGAAATACGAAAGGCAGCTTTCCTCCCCTTAAAGATAGGCACTAAGTACATCTGTAAAGGAGACTTGACTCCAGAGAAACAATTAACAATCTTCTTGCTTTTGCTACATGTCAAGTGTACATAATATTATTAAAGCAATGAAATAAAGGCAGCTTTCCTCCCCTTAATGATAGGCACTAAGTACATCTGTAAAGGAAACTTGACTCCAGAGAAACAATGAACAATCTTCTTGCTTCTTTGATGTTAAATGTACATAATTATTAAAGAAAGAAGCACTCTCAAACCAGAATTTGTGGGGAGTCTATAATCATATTATATACTTATCATTAACAGTTAACACACAATTATTGCTCCATTTTACTGTGACATCAAGATGGTGCTTACAGATTGCATTGTGTGACATTTTTACTTCCAGTCTCTTACTACTTGGTGATAGTATATTACATAGTATTACATTAGATGAACCCAAATTTACTGTGTTCTCATACCTCTCATGTCTAACCTGTTCTAACCAATCAACAATAATAGTGATGCCATAGTAAAACTGSGCAAGTAATTTTGATTAATGATATCTAGTTAAGTTTTATGAAGCCCAGGCCTCCAATTCTGCCATGTCATCATCCTCTGTCATCTTAGCTTTTGCTTTTGCTAAAGAAAAACAAAGCATGTCTAAAATTACCTGAATTTACAGCACATAATCTTATGAAATGTCAGCCAATGAGGATAGTATAATATATGAACAAATGAGGAAAGCTATAGCTTATCAAGGGATCATGTTAACTGGATAAAAATTTTGAGTGAATTTTTATTCACTGTCGATAATGAAATGCATACCTGGTTGCGATGGTAAAGATGTGGCAGGAACATTAGGTAAATCAGCTGTTCCTCCAACCTTCAAGAGTTCTTCATCTAAACCTTCCTGCTCTAACTCTTCTAATTCAGCATTGAGCTCATCCTAAAAAAACATTTAAAAGAACTTAGAAATGAGTAATCATTGAAAAAAAACATTTGGATAAGGTCCAAATGGTTTAAACTGGGKTTGGGTTTTTGACCACAAAACAAACAYAATTGTTGCAAAAATCACTTGGTTCTTGCATCTGCTGCAATTKTTGATGTGCAARAGCAATTAGTGTGCCAATATTTTCTAGTGTAAACCAGGCTTCCAAAGAAAGATTTTGACATAATTTCAGTTATCTGAATCATTATCAACAAAATTAAATACCTCATCAATGTCTTGTCCAAAKCCAACTGGCTCTGAAATGGCTCTGGAGATTTCATCAGCAAGTTCTGTTTGCTCCTGAATGTCATCCATCATATCATGAACATCATCAACATCCCTATGACAAAATCAAAGATTTCAATGTTTATGTCGTCAACTTTGTACAGATTATGAGCAAAAATAGTTGATCAGTCGTAGACCTAATTGGCTAACGCATTGCTATGTACATTCACCACCCACTTGCATTCACCACCCACAACCATTGCAAAAACTGGAAACTTATGTTTCTAATAATTCAACTGTGAAATGAAAATACAATGAACAATGAAACTTAGTCCCATGYGGTATGAATTGGGTGGAAACGTTTACGGCAACGCTTTAGCTGATTAGATCTATTGAGAATCTGATATATATAAAAATAATTGCCCTCAAGCTAACAGATAAATCAGTGTAATATGCAGACTAAACTATGAGCCATGTAGCACACTACATTGTCACATGCTACTGGTAAATGTGGCGTACTAAATATATTTTTAGAGCGCATTCAGCTCAGTCCTTTGCAATTCAGCACCCATTCTGAGATGATGGATGATTAGCACCCATCACCTTTTCCTTTTACACGTGGATAAAACTAGAAACACTCCACAGCTACAGGTTTTGCCCCAATCTACAATCATGTTCAATGCTTTCTAGGTGTTTAACTTTAGACACATCAAAGATTCAATAGCATTTGACAATGTAGAGCGTATTACAGCAGAAACAGTTGTATCACAACATCTATATCGGCACAGTTCCAGCACTTGGCAGCATCCATTGATTGGGTTACTAGTTGTGTTGTTGGCATGACGTCACATTGACTAGTAACCTTTATATGAACACTATGTCAAGCCAATYGCAATGCTGGTAAGGATAGCCTTGAACATACCACCAGAAACTCTGTGCCCTACTCCCTACTTCAAAGTTCAAGAGAAATCGTTGGATTTTTTTTTTCAACATGGGGAAGGAGCTTGCTACAAATCAGTCAATGACTAGACAAGATTGCGAAAAGTTTTACCCCTTAGAAATCAGGAAAGGACAAAATCCAAACAATCTTTAAAATGACGAGTAAATGATGCAAAAATGTCCACTGTTTTAGTCAAGTATATGTGGGATGATTTGAAGTTTATATGATTTGCTAATTTGTGAGCATCAATATATTCAAAATATACSATCAGTATTTAAGACTGTTGTACAYCATATACTTTACAATAAATCAATAAATAAGATGATTGACACTGTATCATTCARATATGCCATATCATCCACGACTTTAGACAAATTACGTTTTGCATTTTTTCGAACTTACAGCTGTTGGTGGGCAGCTTTGAGTGCTTTTGCAGCATAAGACATATTCTTTAGTACTTCTGTGTTAGTGTTCGCTCCCTCTAGTGCTTCTCTTTGAAACTCAATCGTTGATAATGTCCCATCAATTTGATTCAACTGTTTTTCAAGCCTCTTTTTTCTCTTCAAGGCATTCAGAGCACCTAAAATTAGGTACAAATTATTATTCTGTCCTTATCAATACAACCTTTAAACATAACAGGTTTAAAATATGCAATATAACACATACTTCGTTTGTTTTTAGAAGCATTTGCCTTCGCTATATTTAACTCATTTTGGATTTTCTTTTCCAAAAAGTCGCTTTTCTTCTGCAGTAACTCTTCTGTTGATCGTAACTTTTGGATCGCTTCTTGGGTCGTTGGTGCCTCTTCAGCTTTCTTTTT